GATCCTTCATGGTTGTGGCATTTTCGCTATGGCCATTTGAGCTTTGGTGGGTTGAAGACGCTCCAACAGAAAAATATGGTGACAGGCCTCCCTCAAATCACAATTCCCCATTCCTTAGTATGTGAAGAATGTGTTGTTAGCAAACAACATCGTTCTGAATTTGCAAAAGGAAACTCATGGAGAGCAAAGGGAATTTTGCAATTGGTGCATTCAGACATTTGTGGTCCAATAAATCCAATTTCTAATGGAGGTAAAAAATATTTAATTACCTTCATTGATGATTTTTCTAGAAAAACGTGGGTTTATTTTTTACAGGAAAGTCAGAAGCTTTCTCTACATTTAAAAATTTCAAAGCTCGTGTGGAGAATGAGACAAGAAGGATGATTCAGACACTTCGCACAGATCGTGGTGGTGAATATTGCTCAAAAGAATTTGAAGCTTTTTGTGAAGAACATGGCATCCGAAAAGAGCTTACAACTGCGTATACACCACAACAAAATGGTGTATCAGAGAGGAAGAATAGAACCATCCTCAACATGGTTAGAAGCTTGTTGGTAAGAGGAAGAGTTCCAAAGACGTTTTGGCCAGAAGCAGTAAACTGGTGCATTCATGTCTTGAACAGAAGTCCAACCTTTGCAGTTCGAAATATGACGCCAGAAGAGGCTTGGAGTGGGAGAAAACCAAATGTGGATCACTTTAGAATTTTTGGATGCATTGCATATGCTCATGTCCCGGAACAGAAAAGAAAAAAACTTGATGACAAGGCTGAAAAATGTGTCTTTCTAGGTGTAAGTGATACATCTAAAGCATATAAATTATTTAATCCACTGACGAAAAAAATTGTGGTTAGCAGGGATGTTGTTTTTGACGAAGAAAACACTTGGGATTGGAATATGCAGCAGCCTACCGAAGTTCTTTGTGATATTGATTCTGAACAAGAGCAAATTTCAGCATCTAGTATGCCTGAAAATTCGTCCATTGCAACTTCTTCAGCTAGTCAATCCTCACCAACAGTAGTTGGAGTTAACGAAGAAGAAACTCAATCTCTTCGTCGTGTTAGAAGAAGGCCTACTTGGATGGAAGATTATGAGGTAACTGGAATTGAAGATCCAATTACTCACTTTGCTTTGTTTTCAGAATGTGATCATGTGACTTTTGAGAGTGCTGTCAAAGAAGAAAAATGGCGAAAAGCAATGGATGCTGAAATTGATGCAATTGAGAGGAATGATACTTGGGAGTTAACTGATCTTCCAAATGGACACAAAATCATTGGTGTGAAGTGGGTGTTTAAAACAAAGTTAAAGGAAAATGGTGAAATTGACAAGCACAAAGAACGCTTGGTTGTCAAGGGGTACAAGCAACAATATGGGATTGATTATACAGAAGTTTTTTCTCCTGTTGCGAGACATGATACAATCAGGTTGGTGGTTGCATTGGCTGCACAAAATTCTTGGCCTATTTACCAGCTAGATGTCAAATCGGCATTCTTGCATGGGTACTTAGAGGAACAAATATTTATTGAACAACCCCCTGGTTATGAGAAAGTTGGAAATGAGCATAAAGTTTACAAATTGAAAAAGGCACTTTATGGACTAAAACAAGCCCCTCGAGCTTGGTATAGTCGCATTGAGTCTTATTTTCTTAAGGCTGGTTTTATAAAGTGTCCTTATGAACATACACTCTTTGTTAAGATTGGTGATGAAGGAAAAATGCTTATTGTTTGCTTATATGTAGATGATCTTATATTCACTGGAAATTGTGATGTTATGTTTGAAGAATTTAAAAAGTCTATGATGAATGAGTTTGAAATGACTGATCTTGGTATGATGCATTACTTTCTTGGCATAAGTGTAGCACAATCAAGTGATGGAATTTTTATTTCTCAAAATAAATATGTGGAAGATATTCTAGACAGGTTTCAGATGAAGGATTGTAATCCTGTGCACACTCCAGTTGAATGTGGCTTGAAGTTACATAAAGATCATGGAGGAAAGAAGGTTGACAACACCTTCTACAAACAAATTGTGGGAAGTTTGATGTATCTCACTGCAACAAGACCAGACATAATGTATTCTGTGAGTTTAATTAGCAGGTATATGGAAAATCCTACAGAAATACATTTGTTGGTTGCTAAGAGAATCCTTCGCTACTTGCAAGGAACAAGAACTTTCAGGATATTTTACAAGAAGGGTGTAAAATCTGATTTAGTGGGATTTACTGACAGTGATTATGCAGGAGATCAAGATGACAGGAAGAGCACATCAGGTTATGTTTTTATGATTGGTACAGGTGCTATTTCTTGGGCATCGAAGAAGCAACCAATTGTCACTTTGTCAAGCTCAGAAGCTGAATTTGTTGCTGCTACAGCTTGTGCATGCCAAGCCATTTGGCTAAGGAGAATTCTTGAAGAACTTCACTTCCAGAACCAGTGTTGTCTCCATACTTTCTCAGTCATCTCTTCAATTGAGATATTCTTTGTCTCTGGAATTAGGAAGATAATGAATAATGACATGGCAAGCACCCAAGCCGAGAAGAATAAGAAGATCCCGAACTTGAGGTGGCACAACATGGACAAGAAAGCTTGTGCAATGATAAAGGTGAAGAGCATGTTGGTGACCACGACCACACTTTGTCCGGCTGACCTAGCCTCTAGTGGGAATGTCTCACTGGGAATCAGTCACCCAAGTGGGCCCCAAGACCATGCAAAAGATGCCACGAATGTGCAAACCATGACCACCACCAGCATGGCAATTCCATTGCTCAAGCTATCTGAGTAGTCTTGTACCTTTAACCCAAGTATTATTCCAATCACCATTTGAGACACAAACATTTGAACACCAGCTTCCAACAGGAGCACCCTTCTCCCTGCTTTGTCAACTAAGAACACATAAACCAATGTGGAGAGAACATTCACAGCTCCTGTGATCACGGCTGAGTATAGTGAAGCATCATGCTGAAATCCCAATGTGTTGAACTTAACATATCGAAATTATTGCAGGAAATTCTTATTGTTCAACCGGTGACTAGTGATCCGCATGACTAAGGGTTCTCCAGAGGACTGATGCTTAGAGACAGTCGAGGAAGCGAAAAAATGATCTAAGGATGTCATGAAAGAAGAGAGAGGATTTGACCTTTGACCCAAAAAGTCAAGTTGTTCCTTTTGGAGATCTGACCTCTGAAACAGGTAGAGGAGAGAGCCGCGAGTGGTTCTAGGCAGGTCGTGGAGAGAAAAAGTATCGGGGAGGTGGCGTGTGAGCTATAATTTCCGATGAATAGACGCGTGTTGTGGCTGACGGTGATGGGTCCGATGGCATTCGACTTGTTAGAACTTTCTGAGTTGAATGGTCAATCCACCTTCTCGATTGGAGGTTTGTAGATATGGTTTCTGAGTTTGGGCAGAAGTTGGGTGGTGTTTGGATCAGTGTTATTAAACTCGATTCGAGCATCGACCTGGTTGGGCTACTAGGTCACTGGTCGGACCGGTTGATCCGGATATATATAAATATATATATAATATATATAAATATGAACATATATATTTAATTATATCCTCCATATCTAAAATGATTTAAACAAGATTCACTAAATAAGCTTAAAAATTTCGCGCTCACACTTTTACAAGTTCATAAAGCACAAATAAATGAAAATGCACGCTATTAATATGTCAATTTAAATTGCAACTCAGAATCCTCATAAGCATACCTTTCAATGACATTCAAAAGGTCAGATGTTATGAACTCATATTTTTCAAATTCATCTACATTAAAAGACATAGTCACATTCTCTTAATTTATTGTTCTGCAAATTGCTTCAGTATTGAAAGCTGAAATTTAAGTTTATTGTAGAAGAGTATACTACTAGCAAATAAAATTACAAAAATTTTTAAATGAGTTCTACATTTTTTCTGACAAGATGAAATAATTTTGGTTTTTACGTTTTTTTTTATTTTATAAAAACACATGACCCAACCGGGTCACTGGGTCACCAATTTTGACCGGTTTTGGCAGGTTTTGTTCGAGTTTGACCAGGTTCGATGCTTGACTTTAATCGGTCTGATGCTTGACTCGAATCAGTACGATGACCGGTTCGCCGAGTTGTGGGTGGACCCAGCTGGGCGCGCCGAGTTTCATAACACTGCTTTGGATGGTGTTTTAGCCTTGAAGATGGCTAATCTAAGGTAGGAACAAACTTGCTCTTGATACCATATTGAAATATAAAAGAATTTTTTTTTTTGAATTGATACAAATAATTTTCACTGACAGAGACATTTATATAAGAAAGAATGAATATAAATAGATAAAGATGACTCAACAATGAATCATTAGTCCTATCCACTAATTAATAATAAATAAAAACAAAAATATTTTAGTCCTAATTTCCTACGATTACATTCATCTCACAGTTCAGCATACCAGAAAAGTAACCATTGTCATTTCATAAATACGTGTCAATATCTTTGGGAAAATTTGGCTCATATGCAATCTTGTGACAAATTTTTGTGCGCCAATTTTCCAGTTGTTGTTGCCTCTTATGTTTCCTATTCTGCCAATCAAATATCATTAAGTGTTACTGCAAATTAAATTACAAGAAGATTGCGTTGAACAATACCGGTTGAATTACACTGTATGCTGATATATACTATCCATAATACATAGTGTAATTTGTAAACAAATTTTTTATAAATATAACTTTCCCCATGTTATGTATACAAAATTTTTAAGATAATAAAACAATAAAAACACACATTCTTTTTATTGTTTTATCCTATAGAATTAAAGTGTAAAGTATAGTAAAAGAATTTTGATGTAGAGATATTTTTCTTGGATAAAAGATGAAAATACAAAAAATTGGGTAAATATCGTATCGCCTTATCCCGTGCAGGCCAATGCTAACTTGAACTTTTGTAGGATGTGGGGTCGATTATGTGGCTGCAAGTATCAACGAAGTAATATTCGAAGTAATGTATTTCCACGTGTATGTGTATATGGCCTCGATCGAATTTAATCTTCCATAAATCTCTTCCAGAACCAGTGTTGTCTCCATACTTTCTCAGTCATCTCTTCAATCGGGATATTCTTTGTCTCTGGAATTAGGAAGATAGTGAATAATGACATGGCAAGCACCCAAGCCGAGAAGAATAAGAAGATCCCGAACTTGAGGTGGCACAACATGGACAAGAAAGCTTGTGCAATGATAAAGGTGAAGAGCATGTTGGTGACCACGGCCACACTTTGTCCGGCTGACCTAGCCTCTAGTGGGAATGTCTCACTGGGAATCAGCCACCCAAGTGGGCCCCAAGACCATGCAAAAGATGCCACGAATGTGCAAACCATGACCACCACCAGCATGGCAATTCCATTGCTCAAGCTATCTGAGTAGTCTTGTACCTTTAACCCAAGTATTATTCCAATCACCATTTGAGACACAAACATTTGAACACCAGCTTCCAACAGGAGCACCCTTCTCCCTGCTTTGTCAACTAAGAACACAGAAACCAATGTGGAGAGAACATTCACAGCTCCTGTGATCACGGCTGAGTACAGTGAAGCATCATGCTGAAATCCCAATGTGTTGAACAACACTGGAGCATAGAACATGATCGCATTGATGCCAGTCATTTGTTGGAAGACCTGTACCAATAGAAAATTCAAAATAACAAAATTAATCAAAACACTAATAATTAACAAATTCTTATATATGTCCGCCCATCACTTGACAATTTAAGCTTATGTATGAGTCAAAATAATATTGTTCGATTTATGATTAATATTAATGACAAATATGAAAAATAACCAGTAGTGACCTGCAACAAGATGGCAATGATCAAAGGAGGACGGTTGTGGCGCTTTAAGAGGTTGGTGAAGGGGTTCTTGACCTCTTTAGCCACTTTACTAGCTTTAACAATATCATCAAATTCAGGGTCAACATTTTCTACACCACGAATCTTCTTGAGCACAGCCTTTCCTTCATCCTCAAAACCCCTCTCAATAAGACTATTGGGAGTGTCATCCACTATGAGGGCCCCCACTGTTAGCATCAGAGCTGGAATGCCCGCCAATGCCACTGATATCCTCCACCCATATCCACCTTCAATCCTATATTCCCCAATTTACACAATTAGAGAGAGTCTAATACCAAAATTTCAATTAATCAAAATCAAATTATGTACTCTTTGTGTGCCTATCAATTTTCAATTAAGTATATAAGGATTAATTATTAAACTTACTTTGCGGTAAACCAGTTGACAATGTTTGCTATGAGAATTCCGATGGTGATGTTAAGCTGGAACATGATGTTGAGTGCTCCACGAATTCTTGTGGGTGCAATCTCAGAAAGAAAAACTGGCACGGCCTGTCGTGAAAATTGTAATTGCATCAGGAATGAGCAATGTTGAAGGAGAAAGATAATGTAATGTATGAAATTGTAGTACGCCAAAAAGGGAAAATGTAACAAATAACAAAAATTAAAAAGTAGAGTGAAGAAAAGGAGAATAGATAAGGACCAGAGTGGCGAAACCAACACCGCAACCAAGTATGATCCTGCCTATAATGAGGAGAGCAAGGCGATTTGCCACTGCATTTAAGACAGTTCCAACAATGAAGAAAATCCCAGAAATCAACATAGTTAGCTTGCGGCCTAGTTTTCTGGTGACTCCAGAGGCAAATATGGTTGCAACCAAAGCTGCAAGGTAGAGAGAGGATGTGAACAATTGAAGGTTTTGATTATCATATTTGCAGTAGTTACTATCAATCCCGTGCTCCTCTTGTGTCCTTCTGTATATTTCTGGGAAAAACTTCTTCAGAAAGCTAGGCATTGATGTAACACCGCCTGCATTCACATAATACAATTCACAATTAATTTTCACACATTAAATTATATGATATTTTGTTTATGTTTTAATATAATATAATATAATATGGAATGTTATTAAGTTTTATATATATATATATGCACCTGAAATTCCAATATCATAACCGAACATAAGACCACCGGTGGCGGCCATTATGCAAGAAATGATGACAGTAAATGTGATCTTTGCTTCGAATTCGGTGTTCCCGGAAGCTGATGTAAATCCTCCGCCCGCCATGATTGCTAGCTAAATGTCTTGCCCAATTTACAATGATTGTCTGTCTTTGTTGCTTCAAGTCTTGTTTGACTTAATTATGGCCTGTCTTTGTCTTTGTCTTTTTTAACAGGGAGTACTTAAAGGCGATGAGATAAAGCTAGCTAGTGTAAATAAGAATTGTAAGATATGTATGGAAAAGGTTCTGATGAAGTTTGTGTAATAATATGACGCAATATATAGGGGCTGTAGAGATGCCACAGGAGTTGAGGTAAGGCAAAGAAGTTGATAACAGAGTGGATATCGATATCTTTAGATACGTTTGGATTCGGTCAAAAATTCCAACGGTTATATCTAGCTAATTATATCTAATGTAATTGTAAGAGGTAATATTCAATAAGTTATTATATCTAATTACGGAGAATACTAGCTGCCTGTGGAAATGTAACACCCATAGGACTTAATCGTATTGGAGGTCATTTTAAAAATAATCCAGTAGAACATGATAAAATTTATAAGAAAACCGAATTGGATAAATTTAGAAGAAAACCGAATTGGATTTTAAAACAAGCGGAAAATAATTTGGAGAAGTGGGTTGAAGTATATCTTTGTTTCGTTGGATTGGGCTCGTTTGTGGTTAATCTTTTGATACGCGCGCTTGGTTTTTTTTTTTTTAAATGATTAAAAAAATTAAATATTTAAAATAAGTAACTAAAATGATAAATATTTAAAATTAAATAATAAATTTCATAAAAATTAAATGATAAAATATCTAAATATTTATAATAAGTAACTAAGAAAAAATTAATAAAATATCAATCTAAATATAAAAATAATTATAAATTAATTTGAAATGAAATTAAAATAATAATATGTTTTGGAGTTTTCTTAATTGATTTATTTAAATTTAGTTTATTGTTGGTTTGATTTTTTTCTTTTCTTTTTAACATGTTTTTCTTTCCTGTTTGTTTGTTTGTTTGTTTTTTTAAGTACTTAATGTGGTAGTGAGGGAAAGGTAGGCAAAGCCGCAAAGGCTTATCTAGATAAATTATCTTAAAATACTTGCTTTTTAGTGGCTTTAATGGGTTTCGAATCCAAGACGAAATTCAGGAACAGATCCTTAACTCCTCATTCCAACCAATGTTGGCATAATTGTATTCTTTTAAATTGTTGTTACTTTCTTTATTCTAATGCTAATTATTTTTTGTTTTCTCAATTTGTGATTAATGTTCAACAATACTCTCCCTTTAAGTTTTCCCATATACTTTTAAATTGTTGTTACTTACTATTATGCATACAGGAAGGCATTGCGAACCGCGCGCATTCAGAACTCTTCTGAATCAATGTGGTAGTGTTTGGTTGAAGGTTTATTTTGGGATTGATGGGAAAGTGTAAGTGGATATTGGAAAATACCATGTTTGGTTCATGTTTTTTCAAAAAATACCAGGCAAATAGGATAGATAGGAAAATGACTTTTGTGTTGATTTTTGGATGAAATTCACTGTTACAGAATACCACTTGAGATGTGGTATTTTGAGATAACTGGGGAAGTGAAAAAACAGATGCAAAGTTTCTCCCGAACATAGATTTTGCATATTTAAATAAATTATCCTGGTAATATTTGGGTCAACCAAACAACTTTTTTTATATTTTCCTACCAAACTCACTTTCCAATCATTTCCTTATCAATTACATTTTCCTAGTAAAAAAAAATTTCTTCCGAACCAAACACTACCCAAGGGTATAAGGGGGTGACATTTTTGAGAATATTCTCTACCGCTCACTTTGAGAATGTTAAATGGAACAAAGGCGGGAGTTGTGAAAGGTCAAAGCCTTACACTAAGATAGTGTTCCGTAGAGGTTTTTTTAGAAGATAGATAGACATCAGAGATAAGTATTCTTTGTTCTCCACGTTTGGTTCAAAATATTGCAAGATTTTGGCATGAAACACATTTCTCCGTACTTTGACATTTGTGTGTAAAATGAATCAAAAATCATTGTTCAATAAAACCACTCCCAATGTGGCATTGTGAGTTAGATGGCTAAATAGATAAAAGACAACAAAAAATCTGACCATAATACCCTCTTCTTCAATTTGTTAGGGTGCGCATGACAACCTTCCCGGAATCAATTTTTTTTTTAATTTCTGTTCCCGGGAACAGAAATAGATAGAAAACCCGTTTGGTAAAACCAGTTTATTTTTTTGTTCCCGGGATGAACCGGATTAATTTTTGTGCTGGAGAACATAAAAAAGAATCAAAAAATTTCTGTTTTTTTTTTCCCGTGCACAAAATGAGAAACACTTATCTCTCTTAATTACTCTTCATCTCTACCATCATTACCACCACCACCATCATCCCAACACGACCACCGCCACCATTGTCGTCGCCGCCGTCGTACCACTAGTGCTGTCGTGAACACCCCCCACCACCACGATGCCACCGCTACCATCACCATCACCATCACCACCACCTTCACCCATCACTACCACCATGCCACCATCACCACCACCACCACAACTACCACCGCTGCAACCACCACCACCATTATCACCGTCACTGTCACCATTATCACTGTCACTGTCACCATCACAATCACCACTACCGCCATCAACCACCACCACCATCATCGCAACCACTGCCGCCATTGCCATCACCACGCCACTGCCACCACCACCACCACCATCATCGCAACCACTGCCGCCACCCTACCATCGCCATCACCACGCCACTGCCACCACCACCATCGCCACCACTACCACCACCACAACGCCACCGCTATCATCACCACCACTGTCACCAACCACCACTATCATTGTTGTAGCCACCACCGACATCGCTGCCGCCACCAACCACCACCACCATCGCCACCACTACTGTCACCTACCACCACTGCCACCGCCGCAGCCACTGCCACCACCACCACCTCCATGATGCCATCACAACCACCAGACGATACCACCGCTACCATTGTCGTCGCCACCAACCACCATCTCCACCACCATTGTCGCAGCCACTGCCGTCACCTCAACCACCACCAGCCCCACCACTACCACCGTCGCTGCCACCATTACCACCGCCTTACCGCCGCCGCCGCAACCACCACCACCATGCCACCCTCGCCGCCACCACCACCATAACCACACCATATGGAAAGGAAAGTGATGATCCGAATTTTTTTTACATTTAATGGGAATTATTTTTTTATTATATTATTTGTTATGTTATCAAACGCAATTCTCATTCTCGGAATAAAAATAGAACATGTTATCAAACACATTTTTTTTTCTCATAAACTGTTCCAAGGAACAGAAATAGAAAAGAATTGTTTCTTTTCAGAAACAGTGCTAGGGAATAGAATGGTTGTCATGCACACCGTAAGGGAATATAATGCCGTCATGCCTCAATCATCATACTTCAAATTTCAGTCATGGCCCCTGAAACATAACTTCATTGTCGAAAGCCACTATATGATTTCATTGAACTAAATCTATGTATAGAATTTGTAAGGATGATTATGTAAATTAGTATTGTTACTTTTATGGCTCCAGGAAGCCCGTTTGTCTCAAAGGAATAAAATTATAAAAATTAAAGTTGACTTTGGATGATGACTTCCTTCAGAAATTAATCAGTCAGATCTACAAAATTTTAGGTATTTTATGGAGGTCATATTTTCATATTGTGGAGGTCAAAGACCTCCACAAAAGACATTCGTGACATCCACACCAACCCCCAGTTTTGCCTACGCCACGGCATATTTTGTGGCAGCGTTGTGTGCAACGCCACAATTTGTTGGAGTATTTTCTGATGGTCCCAGACCCCCACAAATGTTACACTTTCTAGAGGTTCAAGACCCCCACAAATGTTATATTATTTTTGGAGATTTACTAACCTCCACAATATATTTGACTTTTTGTCATTCAAAGACCCCCACACCATTTATCATTTTTTGGAAGGCATAGACTGCTATAATTTGTTTATTATTTTGGCAGATTTAAACCTCCACTAAATACTAGTTATCCAAATTTGATAGATTTGTATATCATAAATTTAGAATTGAACCCCATCACTTGATTTGATTTGTTAGCCAATTTATTTTTAGAGCATCCAGTTATTACTTCTCTTCATCTTTTTTCACATTTTTCGAACAGTGACTTGACATAAGGATCAGAATGCATTAATGAAATGTATATATTTCTGATCAAAAAAAATTTAGGATAGAAATGTACCAAGTCATATAAAAACTCTGTAAAGAGAACATACAGAGAAAAAAAAATACGAATCACGTGTTTTTATTTTTATGTGTGTATAAATTGTAACTTTATCTCCTACTAAATGAATGGTATATCGTAAAGAAAGAATCTAATGTCTTTTTAAGGGCAACAGGAGAAGCTATCCATTGTCCAGAGCAAGTTAATGCCACAGCTTACACCACGAAACTTCTCAGGCTCTTGTCCCTGCTCACACTCTTCTTCTCCTTGTTGTTCATCTTCCACACACAAGCAACAAGTATCTCTGTTGGCCCGCTGCAACTGACACATTTCAAATAAATCCAAAACAACCATTCCGAAAATTCAGCTAAGCAAGCACGATTACGTTTCAAAAACTTGTAAAAAAGAAAAAATGGACCTGATATCTGTAAGGATAAATATAGTCAGAGGTGAGTTTAACGAATTTGCACTTCATGATGCCAGCAGGACCACCTCTGAATCCATACAATCATAGCCTTGTAATCAACAATGCCTTTTATAACCTGAAGAAGAGGAAATTAAGTGAGAAAAGAAACAAGAATAAGCTCTAACTACACGCTCAAAGTTGAAACCAAACCATAATGTAGACAAGCATTAGGGAAGAGGGAAAAAAAAACTTTAAAACACATTCCTTCTATAAGGCAATAGAAGACCAACTCACGGATATTAACATGATACCTAATGGGAGGGAAGGGGAAAAAAAGGCGCAAAAAACAAACAAAAACAAAAACTCAGAAGCAGAGGAAGAGTTTTCTGAATCAGCGAAAACAAAAGATAATAAGTTGGCTCGTCCTCTCGAAATGCAAAGATACAATTATTATTAAATAGGAATCAATTTATTATGGTACAATTTTGACGTAACTCAGCAAACTCCCTAATTATACAACATTGCTGTCACTTTCACTATAAAAAAAATTAAAAAGAAAAAGAAATATAATAATACTGATATTAAATTGAAAAATAAAATTAATCCTGACCCAGCCCTCTGAAAAAATAGCTTATCTATGATAAAATGAAGTTATAAGATAAACCATTCATGCCTAAAGACCAAATTAACATTTTAGTTTTATTATCATTATTATTAGTAATAAAAAAGACCAAATTAAAATGTTAATTATGCATCCGATTGGGAAAGGGGCAAAATTATTTCGTTTAGGATTTGTTTGAGTTCTATATTTTAAAAAATCATAATCAGGAAGAACTAGTTCACTATTTATTTATATATTCATACATCAAAGCTCATCATGTTCATCATCGCTTTCCTGATGCCCATCTGCATCAACTGTGTTGTAAAAAATAAATTCATGATCAAGCATCTCCTGGAGTGACAATTTTCCATCTTCATTATCATTAGCCTGCACAAATAGAACCAACAATCTCACATATTCAAAACTACCTTTTCTTTTCTTTTTGTAATTAAAAACTACTGTATATTTATGCAGTTCATGGGCATGTTGAGGTATAAATGAAGAATAGAATCGGAAAATATAAATTGACAATGTAAATAATTATTTACATTGTCAATTCAAAAGTTTAATTTATTAGGTAATTCTTGTATTAATAATATTATATTTCTCTAACACATCTTCTCAAACAAGAGTTTATTGAACTTGAAAGGATGACAATATATAAATCTATTATCGAATTCGCGGCTACTTAATCACAAAAACTTGATGAGAGAATATTTAAATATGTTATGTGCTTGGCTACATTCCTATTTTTCGCCATTCTCATTTCATTGAATCATTGCCTTCTATTTGTATTCCAATCCCGCAACACACAAACTTTTACAATTCATGAAAAGTAACTAACCTCATTCATTAAATAGCACGTGAAATATTTAGCATAAACTAGCTCTCCAGGGTAGATGTAAGGAAGTATCGGTATCAAATCTTCAGGTGACAATAACCTACCAAATATATGCTAATGGTAAGTTTAGAACAACAAAAACAACATTCCTTAGCACTAAACCAGTTATATACAGCTTATATCAAAGAATGAAAATTCAATTTATAATTGTTGATTCTGTAGAAACAAAAACGCACAAAAAATAAATTCTAACTCCGTTCAAGCTAGATTTAGATCCCGCGAGGTTTGGCCTTGCCATCTATAAAAACAAAAAATTACATTACTCACAAGCATATTTCAAGACAGAATAATGCAAAGAAGTGTGTGATTTAAATAGAGAGATGCTATTTGTTCCAATAGCAAGCCACCAGTCCCTAAAGCAAGAAAAAAATTCACCAATAAAATAATTATTATGAATCAGAGGTCAAATGATAACTTCCATAAACCTTGAGAGAAGAAATCTTGCAAGTGGGCTTAAATTGCTATTTGAATGAAGTTCCTTGTTCTGTTGTTTCTGTTAGAGTCTCTTTGTTTTTTGTCCGTTAGAAAATTCAATGGTCTTTTAAGTTTGATGTAACGGCCATGTGCTGCACTAAAGTTGTTTGATGATTCTTAACGGTATCATAATGGGTCAGTTTTGGGTAGTATAATGAGTCATTAAGTTAGAGTTTATTTGGGTGTAATGTGTCTCTTAATGTTATGTTTTTCAGTTTTAGTTTCTGATTTATATTAAGTTTGAGTCAGTTTATGAAATGTGTATTCCCTCTTCAAACATTGTGAGTTATATTTCTGCATCTTAATTTTTCTCTATCAGTGGTATCAGAGCAAGGTTGAGAGTTAAACACGTGAGGGAATTGAGTTGTGAAAAAAAGAGTAAAGTGAAGAGTCATGGCCACAGATTCTAATTTTGTGCAAGCAGCCATTCCACGTTTCGATGGTCATTATGATCATTGGAGCATGTTGATGGAGAATTTCCTTCGATCCAAGGAATATTGGGATGTAGTTACCAATGGTGTTGTTGAACCAGCACTAGCAGAAGGAGCTCAGTTGACAGCAGCACAACGAGCAGCTCATGAAGCAGTAAAGTTGAAGGATTTGAAGGCGAAGAATTATCTCTTCCAGGCCATTGACCGTTCTATCTTGGAAACCATTCTTTCCAAAGAAACTTCCAAGGATATTTGGGACTCCATGAAAAAGAAGTATCAAGGCTCTGCAAGAGCAAAGAGGCAGCAGCTTCAAGCTTTACGCTCGGAATTCGAAACACTTCGAATGAAGTCGGGAGAATCAATTGCAGATTATTTCTCTCGCGTGATGACCATTGTCAATAAAATGCGAATTCATGGAGGCAGGATAGAAGAAATAACTGTCATAGAAAAAATTCTTCGATCATTAACAGCAAAATTTAACTTTGTTGTTTGTGCTATAGAAGAATCTAAAGATATAGATGATTTGTCACTTGATGAATTGCAGAGTTCATTGGTGGTGCATGAACAGAAGTTCAAACAGGAAGACACAGATGAGCAAGCATTAAAGGCTTCTACCGATACTCGTTCCAACAATTTTCAAGGAAGGGGTAGAGGTAGAGGTAGAGGCAGAGGTAGAGACAGAGGCAGAGGTAGAGGAAGGTCCACTAATTTCAGAGCCAATAATGATCAATTTCAAGGCAGAGGCAGAGGAGGAGCCCCTGATAAATCCAAGGTAGAATGTTTCAGGTGTCATAAATTTGGTCATTATCAATCTGAATGTTATACTAAGCTGCCAAATAGCAAAGAAAAAGAAGAAAGTTCAAACTTTGCAGAAAAGGAGGAAGGTGAAACCTTATTGATGGTTGCTAAAGATGAAAAGCAAATTGAGCCAGATGTTTGGTATGTGGATACTGGCTGTAGCAACCACATGAGTGGTAGTAAGTCTTCTTTCTCTCATCTGAATGAAAATTTTCAATCTACTGTGAGTTTTGGTGATCATTCTACTGTGAAAGTAATGGGAAAAGGTGACATTAAAATAAAAACCAAGAATGGTTTTGTGGAAACAATATCTAATGTATTGTATGTTCCTGATTTGAAAAGTAATTTATTGAGTGCTGGCCAATTACAAGAAAAGGGTTATGTGATCACTATTAAAAATGGTGTTTGTGAAATATATGATTATGTTAGAGGTGCTATTGCTGTTATTCAGATGAGTTCAAACAGATTGTTTCCATTAAAGATTGAAGGAATCCAATCTAGTTTAATGGCTGAAATGAAAGATCCTTCATGGTTGTGGCATTTTCGCTATGGCCATTTGAGCTTTGGTGGGTTGAAGACGCTCCAACAGAAAAATATGGTGACAGGCCTCCCTCAAATCACAATTCCCCATTCCTTAGTATGTGAAGAATGTGTTGTTAGCAAACAACATCGTTCTGAATTTGCAAAAGGAAACTCATGGAGAGCAAAGGGAATTTTGCAATTGGTGCATTCAGACATTTGTGGTCCAATAAATCCAATTTCTAATGGAGGTAAAAAATATTTAATTACCTTCATTGATGATTTTTCTAGAAAAACGTGGGTTTATTTTTTACAGGAAAGTCAGAAGCTTTCTCTACATTTAAAAATTTCAAAGCTCGTGTGGAGAATGAGACAAGAAGGATGATACACTTCGCACAGATCGTGGTGGTGAATATTGCTCAAAAGAATTTGAAGCTTTTTGTGAAGAACATGGCATCCGAAAAGAGCTTACAACTGCGTATACACCACAACAAAATGGTGTATCAGAGAGGAAGAATAGAACCATCCTCAACATGGTTAGAAGCTTGTTGGTAAGAGGAAGAGTTCCAAAGACGTTTTGGCCAGAAGCAGTAAACTGGTGCATTCATGTCTTGAACAGAAGTCCAACCTTTGCAGTTCGAAATATGACGCCAGAAGAGGCTTGGAGTGGGAGAAAACCAAATGTGGATCACTTTAGAATTTTTGGATGCATTGCATATGCTCATGTCCCGGAACAGAAAAGAAAAAAACTTGATGACAAGGCTGAAAAATGTGTCTTTCTAGGTGTAAGTGATACATCTAAAGCATATAAATTATTTAATCCACTGACGAAAAAAATTGTGGTTAGCAGGGATGTTGTTTTTGACGAAGAAAACACTTGGGATTGGAATATGCAGCAGCCTACCGAAGTTCTTTGTGATATTGATTCTGAACAAGAGCAAATTTCAGCATCTAGTATGCCTGAAAATTCGTCCATTGCAACTTCTTCAGCTAGTCAATCCTCACCAACAGTAGTTGGAGTTAACGAAGAAGAAACTCAATCTCTTCGTCGTGTTAGAAGAAGGCCTACTTGGATGGAAGATTATGAGGTAACTGGAATTGAAGATCCAATTACTCACTTTGCTTTGTTTTCAGAATGTGATCATGTGACTTTTGAGAGTGCTGTCAAAGAAGAAAAATGGCGAAAAGCAATGGATGCTGAAATTGATGCAATTGAGAGGAATGATACTTGGGAGTTAACTGATCTTCCAAATGGACACAAAATCATTGGTGTGAAGTGGGTGTTTAAAACAAAGTTAAAGGAAAATGGTGAAATTGACAAGCACAAAGAACGCTTGGTTGTCAAGGGGTACAAGCAACAATATGGGATTGATTATACAGAAGTTTTTTCTCCTGTTGCGAGACATGATACAATCAGGTTGGTGGTTGCATTGGCTGCACAAAATTCTTGGCCTATTTACCAGCTAGATGTCAAATCGGCATTCTTGCATGGGTACTTAGAGGAACAAATATTTATTGAACAACCCCCTGGTTATGAGAAAGTTGGAAATGAGCATAAAGTTTACAAATTGAAAAAGGCACTTTATGGACTAAAACAAGCCCCTCGAGCTTGGTATAGTCGCATTGAGTCTTATTTTCTTAAGGCTGGTTTTATAAAGTGTCCTTATGAACATACACTCTTTGTTAAGATTGGTGATGAAGGAAAAATGCTTATTGTTTGCTTATATGTAGATGATCTTATATTCACTGGAAATTGTGATGTTATGTTTGAAGAATTTAAAAAGTCTATGATGAATGAGTTTGAAATGACTGATCTTGGTATGATGCATTACTTTCTTGGCATAAGTGTAGCACAATCAAGTGATGGAATTTTTATTTCTCAAATAAATATGTGGAAGATATTCTAGACAGGTTTCAGATGAAGGATTGTAATCCTGTGCACACTCCAGTTGAATGTGGCTTGAAGTTACATAAAGATCATGGAGGAAAGAAGGTTGACAACACCTTCTACAAACAAATTGTGGGAAGTTTGATGTATCTCACTGCAACAAGACCAGACATAATGTATTCTGTGAGTTTAATTAGCAGGTATATGGAAAATCCTACAGAAATACATTTGTTGGTTGCTAAGAGAATCCTTCGCTACTTGCAAGGAACAAGAACTTTCAGGATATTTTACAAGAAGGGTGTAAAATCTGATTTAGTGGGATTTACTGACAGTGATTATGCAGGAGATCAAGATGACAGGAAGAGCACATCAGGTTATGTTTTTATGATTGGTACAGGTGCTATTTCTTGGGCATCGAAGAAGCAACCAATTGTCACTTTGTCAAGCTCAGAAGCTGAATTTGTTGCTGCTACAGCTTGTGCATGCCAAGCCATTTGGCTAAGGAGAATTCTTGAAGAACTTCACTTCCAGAACCAGTGTTGTCTCCATACTTTCTCAGTCATCTCTTCAATTGAGATATTCTTTGTCTCTGGAATTAGGAAGATAATGAATAATGACATGGCAAGCACCCAAGCCGAGAAGAATAAGAAGATCCCGAACTTGAGGTGGCACAACATGGACAAGAAAGCTTGTGCAATGATAAAGGTGAAGAGCATGTTGGTGACCACGACCACACTTTGTCCGGCTGACCTAGCCTCTAGTGGGAATGTCTCACTGGGAATCAGTCACCCAAGTGGGCCCCAAGACCATGCAAAAGATGCCACGAATGTGCAAACCATGACCACCACCAGCATGGCAATTCCATTGCTCAAGCTATCTGAGTAGTCTTGTACCTTTAACCCAAGTATTATTCCAATCACCATTTGAGACACAAACATTTGAACACCAGCTTCCAACAGGAGCACCCT